GCCAGGGGAAGGCCGGCTCCTCTCCCTCGTCTTCCCTGCCCGAGGCGAGGATCGAGGTCGGACCTGTTTGGCTCTGTTGGGCCACTTGCTACACTGCTACACCCCTAGGGCTCCAATCACCTGCTGAGAAGGTGGTTGGGGTAGGTGTCAGGGGGGTCTAGCTATACAGCTTCTGAGGTGGTCGGAGGTTGGATAGTTGGGGCCACCTAAAGCCGAGGCCTCGGGGGCCGAGACCAGATGCTCCGCCGGCCATCGGCGGTCTTCCAGGTCAAGCGCTGCTTCTTCTCATCCACGAACTCCAAGCTCACGTTGCCTGGGAGAGTCAAGTCTGGCGGAATTCGGGCGTTTCTCACGACTGGGATGGAACTTCCGAGAGGGAGGCCACCCACATGAGCGGTAGCTACCAAACTTCTGCCCAAGTCGGTGGGAGTTCATCAATCAACAGTCAACATGAGGTGCACAATCCCTGGAAATCATCATGGTCACGTGATGTTACGTGGGGCAAAACACCTGTTGGTAGAGGAAAATGATCATGCTTTCGGGGCCACGCCTTCCATGTAACCTTGAGAGGAGTCGTATTCGGTAGCAGCCTGGGAAACCAAACAACCAGAAACAAATGGATGTTTCCCCAAACAGCCATTTCCTATGTAAAGGATTTCAATTGCCATATTGGAACAACCATTTGTTTCTGGTTGTTTGGGTTTCCAGGAGCAGCATAGACCTCTATGGCTGTTGGATTACCAGGTCTAACTCTACAAAGAGAAGGGGTCAGATGAGGCCAGAATAATGCATGTTGCCTATGTGGATGCGTGTGGATGCGTATTAAAATAGGGAGACCTCCCAAACACCTCCTGGAAGAAGAGAAATAGACCAGTCAGTCTACTCATTGCTAGGTGTCCCCTGGTGTCGCCCACCGAGGCCGAGGCCGTAAGTTTGGCGAAGAGAACCGGTTCTTTGAATATGTTTGTTGTTAATCCCCAACACTCCATGGGAATGGCAGTCCCATGGAGTGTCTCGGAATTATATATTTAGGATCCCGGTGCATGTTCCTTGACTCGTTCGGCTTTGGAACAGCGAGAGGCCAGCGGCGCGTTTCATCTTTCGGAAGCGAACGGAGCCAGCTTCGCTTCCCCATTTTGGGCTTCAGTCATGAAACCGAGCATGGACAGTTGGATCAGTGACAAGCCTAAAGAGAACGCAACACTCCCTAGGGCTCCAGTCCTACCTACCTCCTTTGAGGAAATGGTTGGGGCGAGTGCCAGGGGGGTCCAACCACCGAACCTGAGGATATGGGCCAGGAGCCCTAGGGCCTACTGTAGGGCTGAACCCTCCTGAAAGAAGAAATCATCCATCATCCAATATCGGACATCCATCTAACGAGCTGTCCTGCCTCCAGGACAAGAATATCAAATGCAAACAAAACCTTCGCCCTAACATGAGCCATCAAAATGTGCATTAGTTTGCTTCCGACAACTGCCCACTGGAAGCACCTGGGTCATGAGTAATGAGATATAGACGTCTCAGCTTGTCAATTCTTAAACAACTAACTAACCAACAAACTAACTAATGGGTGGTTCAGCATCGGAAGATCTTGGCACAAGTGACCCCTGGCCCCTTCTTTCAGGTGAGCCTTCGCAGGTGCCACAAACCCAAATAGCGGAAAACTCCCCCCATGCCAAAATCAAAAAGATCCACAGGCATCCCAAAAAAATCTGCCCAAGAATCTCTTGCCATATTTGGTCACCAATGGCATGGATGGACTATCCCAAAACTCCACTGGGATACATACCTACATTGATCACTCAAAATCCACTCCAACTCATTTATATGGAAGTGGAAAATGGCCCCTTGGCCTCTACAAACAGCTGGTATCTAAATTTATGTGTCGTCCTTCAGGGGAGCACCAACCGCAGCCACTTGCTACTGCCAGTGTCGCTCAGTGTGCAGGTACAAGGGGCCACAGCGCCATCCACTGCCCGCATTCTCAATGCGAAGGACTCCTTGGTCCCAAACCCAGACACCCCATCCTAGGAGCAAGGACGCTACTAGGGGCTCCTGGCATCGCTAGTAAGTAGGAACAAGAAGCTACTAAGGGGCTCCTGGCCTTACTACTAGGAGCAAGGACGCTCCTAAGGATCCTTGGACCCGACACCTCCGCAGGGGGTCGAACCCTCGGACCCTGGCAGGGGTATCCAAACCCCTCAAAAACCTTGCTCATAAAACCGACAACACGAGCTAGATTAAACACATTTATATAAGTACAAATAATAGAGTAAAACATAAATCTTAGCGGTTCTTTTTCAGTTCTTGTAAGCATTGTAAGCACATATTTGTGTTCACAATATGTTAACAAAATATGGGTCAAATCAGCTCGGCATCGCTAGAGGACAGTAAATCAGAGATATCACAGGCATCTCACACTGCGATATTGAAAGCGCATGGAAGGTGAATGTGACTGCACCTTCGGGAAGAAAACTCTTCCAGGGCCCCATGGTCTGCCTTCCGGCCCTTTGGGGGTACCAACCAAAACTCCTGCAAGAAAATCCCTTCTAGATCCTTCTACCAGCACCCTCCACCAGGTCACCACCTGCGACTTTTAAGTCTCCAAAAGCCGCCATTTTGGAGACCTGTAGAGTCGGGTGCTGGTAGTAGATCTTCTTTTTCTACATGAACAATGGAACAAAGCCACTGGAGGCTGACCGCGTGTGTAGCTCCAAAGATCTCACACCCCCCATCCCAACCCATCCCCCTGCGCTTCAACCGCGGTGCGGTCTTGCGCGGTGGGGTGTTCCACCAAGGGCGTGAGCACCGCGGTCGCGACGGTGGCGGGCGGGTGATGGCTCACGAGGATCGAATGGCCCAAGGAATCCAGCCAATGCCCGGCCAAAAACCGGCAGAAGCCTGAAGGAGAGAGGACGAAGGAGAGAGAGAGAGACCCGCCAAGGACATCAGTGGATGACGAGTTGGACGACCCGGGATGGACAGAACACACGGTGGGTCCGGCCTTGGAGATCTTGGAGGTGGAAGTGGGACCAGGGTGGTCAACTGGAAGACGGACCGAAGCGGGCTCTGCCTAGGTCGGTCCACCTGGGAGATGGGCCGCGGCCTTCCACACCGCCGCGAACAGGTCTCTGGGTGGTGGGCTCCTGGCCCACCTCCGTTTCGGTTCGATGGGCTACCGGGCTGGGTGCTCGGCCAGGGGAGTCTGTGCCCACCGGTCACCGGGTCGGAGATGGGCCCTTCGGACCCCGGGTTGGGCGGATTTGGACGACACCTGCGGCACGTGATCTACGTCGAAAAATCCGATCCACCCATCGAAGCCAACGAAGAGTTGGCGATCGAAGCCGTTGAGTGGGGAGCAGGTCACGCCTGGAGTCACTGAGCCAGCTTCTGATCTGAATCGCCCGGTGCCTGACACATGGTTTGACCAGAAATTGGTCTACGACTCCACGGCTCTACTTCCAATTGATGGGGGTTCCCGCACAAAAAAAAAAACACGGTAGCTTCAGCACAGAACACCACCAAGTCCAGTCACAGAACCTCAAGGCCGCACCACCTCGCCCAAACCACTTCACCACTCCACCACCTCGCCCAAACCACCAACAGAGGTTAAGTGATGTTAAGTGATCGTATAATAGGACCCGTCACCAGGGGTACCGAACTGGGATAGTCTATAAGGTCCTTCAACCTGGCCCTTCACCACCTCGGACTTCGCTTCGTCCATCGCTGCCGGGCCACCCTCAGGCGTCGCCACCATTCGCCATTCCACGTGGACCCGACCGGACCGCCCGCGGACCCGACCGGCGCCGTTCGAGCCGGACGAGCTAAGGAGAGCGGCCGAGGCGGGACGAGCTACGGCCGAGGTAGGCCCGTTTCGGCCATTGGAGGAAGGGACGTTGCATGGAGACGCCAGTTGCCTGGTTTGGGGACCTGGAAGGCCAAGGATGGGGAAGACCATTAGGATCGTTAGGAGAGGCCAACCACCCCACAGGGCTGCTCAGGATGAAGAAGGCAAAAAGGACACACTATTCATATTCATGCATTCATGTTCATTTATGTTACACTTGTTACACAAACGGAAGTGTGTCAAAGTACTTTGTGAACCTGAGAAGCACAAGTCTCCGGCCAGAAGTGCCTGCAAACACCAAACTGGCCTGTCTCCTGTATGTTGATGTATATATGTACTGTATATATCTATAGTAGATCCTGGCTCAAATCTAGTCATCTAGTACCGCACCTTCCTTACAAGCCCGAGGAGCAGTCGGACCGTCCAACAGTGCACCTATATATAGAAGATCACCCAATGCTAGCAGCTTGTAGCAGCTGGTAGCCCGGTTCATCCAGTCGATCCACCGATATCATCCAGTCGATCAGAGTCCGCCTTTTGGATTAGGGTCTGGGAAAGCCGAGTGCTGGCCCAGCGGACAAAGCACACAAAGCATCAGGTCCCTCATAGCGGCTTAGCGCGTCTGTGCACCGAGCTGGAAGACACCGAACAACGGAAACCTCACAATAACTCATGAGATTGACCGTCCGTCCACGCCCCTTTTCTTTTAAAGACCATGCGCCACCATCCGGCACCACCCTGTAAAAACCCCAAATCGCTCCACCATGGAGTAACGAACCTCGACTTTCAGGTCTCCAGGAGACCCTCTGTCTGACAGTCTGTTTGCCGAGTGACTCGGTCCGGTCTTTGGTTGGCCCATGGTCGTGCCCATTACCGGAGAACCTGGGGCTTCTTTCGGGGTGTCCTGTCGGGAGGTCTCTTAGTGGGGCTTCCAGCCAGGTGACTCCTTTGAAGGTGCTAGGCATGGATTTCGTTCTCTAGTCGGACTTCTTACAGATCTCCGAAATAGGATCGATCCAAACCTGCACCTCAACTTCAAGTCTTACCCCACCATGTCCAAAATCTTCCAAATCCTTAAGCTTTCCCTCATCCCCACCCAAGAAAAACGCCTGCTGCGCGTCGCGCGGTTGCGCGCGGCGCGTGAAAAAGGATCCTTCACGCGTCCCCGGAGCATGGAGACGTTGTTGAAATGGCAGGTGCCGAGCTTGATCGGGCGATTCCTCCGCAGGCGGAGGGCAGGTGCGGCTTTACGGGTGACCATCTGCCACCTAGTGCTCCAAGAAGCACCAGGTCTCCTGTTCTAGGATTCTAGGGAGCTCGATTGGTGGCCACCACCTGTCCAAGAAAACATTAGGAACAAGGAAGACTTTCACCTATAATACCTATAGGATTAGAACCCAAACATAAGCTTCTATTCTATACTAAGGGAAAGGCGTAAAAAGGCCGTATTTTGGAGAATTAATCCTCAAAATCAAAGGAGGTCATTCAGGCTTTAGGTAATTCTAGGCACGCTGGAAGACCAGTCCGACGATTTTTGGCACCCCTGGTAGGAAATTCCTGGCACCCCTGAGGGTGTTGGGTCACACAACACCAGTTCAACCATTCTCTTCTTGGTCTTTGAAGGCCAGGATAAGGATGTGACACTCCCAAGACCAGGTCAACCATTGCTTGAATCTGCCCGGAAGGCGAACGGAGAAGGCGAATTCCATTGAACATCATTGAACCATGGGACTGCCATATATGCCGATCAATTGGGGTGGTTTTGGGGGGCAATATGGCAGTCCCATGGACCGTGTCTGGGTATTTCTGCTGACCCTACGAGTAGACGATGAACTTCTGAGGTTTGGTCTCGCTGGGGACGTTCGTTTGGAAGGTCTCTTCGGCTGCGGCACGCCTCGGGCGAATCCCAGGTTGGTCCCATTGCATCACCCTTCAATAGACGCGCCTGTGAACGAAACCCCGAGTTTTTCCTGAAATCTAACACACACTATGGGACTATGGCACCAGAATGTGGCAGTGATTTCAGAGTAGATGGCACAAACCCCAAAATGTCAGATCGGGGTCCATATAAACCACCGAACTCGAGGAGTGTGCCATCAACTCTGAAACCACTGTAACTGCAAACTCTGGGAGTCTAACTGCAACTATGCTCCTAGTAGCGATGCCCTTTGTTCCTAGTAGCGTCCTTGCTCCTAGTGCGGCCAGGAGCCCCGTTCGTAGCGTCCTTGCTCCTAGTAGAGTCCTTACATGCCTTTAGGGGCCTCATTGTTCGGGAACCTTCATCTACTTCACGGATCGACAAGATCTTCTACACCCGCTCGGCGTTCCCGCTGGACCCAGTCTTCAGGGGGGTTCCATCCACCCAGCTTGAGAAGTTCTTCGCCGTCTCCGCACACCTCACCGGGCTTGGACCAGCCACAACAAAGCACTTGCTTGGTCCAAAGCCGGCCGCCGACCCCGGGTCCGGCGGCCCCGGTCCTTTCTTTCTGACGCTTTCGGGACTCCCTTTCCTTGGCTGAGGCTGAGCCAAGAGAGGACCCCCCAGTGGATCCCAGTTGCCACTATATAAGGAACCAGGGATTCGTTCGGTCTATGGGTTTAGTCTTTGGAACCACGACGGGACTCCCAGCGAGCGACATCGTGGGAACTGCCGACGGATGCCCTGGGACCAGCCCTGAGAGTCCAGAGTCGTCGGCGATCAAAAGAATGATCCGACGAACGGTGACCCGAGTCAAGGAATATCCTGGATCCTTCGGCCGGTCAAACATAGAGTCGAACTGGACTTCTACCAGCACCCTCCTGGCCAGGCTGCTAGTTGAGGGTTGTTGGACCCTAACAGGTCTCAATTGGTGACCTGTCGGAGGGTCCTGGTAGGGTGAGTATGCCCATGGAATCATGGAACAAAAAGAAAGATAGACCAGCGCCTAGCTTACCTGCCAGGTCACCACCTGCCACGTGTACAAGTCGTCTCCATTTCAGCCACCATTTCAGAGACCGGTACTGTCTAGCGCTGGTAGGGAACCAAGCCAAAACATCTCACAGAATTACGCCGTATAATATGACTCCATCATATTCCCCAGGTGCAGGACCCCAAAATCTAAAAGCCAAAACCCAGGTGTCCCGCTTGTCGCGGATGTGCTTGGGCATGTCCTTGAGAGCCTGCCCGGAGCTCTCACCGAAGCGGACCGTGACGGGACAGGAGCCCTGGGCCATAGATGGGTGGCTACTAGTACCTGGATCCTCCATGCAAAGTATGTCTGCCGACCTTGGCTGGTTCTAGAGATAAAAAAGGCGGAAATTCTGCAGTTTGGAAGATCCAGGTCTCCACCACCCCACTTGGACGCCCCACTTCTCGACCTCTCGAAGCTCTCGACCCACTGAACCTGGTCACTGAACCTTCGTCCAAAACTGAAGTGACCGAACCTGATTCTTACCACTCTTGGCGGGAACATCGGGAACCAACGCACATGGGGCTGTAGCTGCAGGCAGGGAAACGCCCAATCCAACCAACCAATAGGTAGACCTGGCCTATTTCCCTTCCAGGGGGGTCTGTGGGAGGTCTCCCTATAGTTGAAATACACACCCACATTGCTCAAACGGGAGGTGCTCCAGCGGTCCCACCTACGCTTTGCAAGTGCCTTGCTTCCTCGCACTGCAAGCCGAGAAAAACACATGCAGCATGAGTGTAGTCCCCGGGATGAAAGTGTGGATTCTGGTACCCGACTTGCGACTTCTTTTCCATCGAAGAGTGCATTGCACTTCTTTTCGTGAGGTTTGTTGCCACTCTTCAAGCTTACCCCCTCCGCTGGTGTCCACCAGCGCTTACCCCGGCTGCGCCTTTTGCAGCAAATCCCCGAAGCAAATCTCGCACTTCAGGGTGGCGCCTCCTAACCTTGGAGAAAAGAAAACCCCCGAGCCCCCGAGCCCCGGTGGTGGAGGCCAAGGCTCAACCAAAAGGCGGAAGCTCTGAAGGGGGACCGTGAAGAACCGGCTCCCGAGGTAGATCCAAACTCGCATGGCACGATTCTGAAAGCCCTATGCCAAGGTACTTGCCAAGGTAGACTCTTGATTCATCAACCATCCCATTTGGATTAAGAAACCTCTTCATGTGGGGGTATTGTTAATCCAGAGTCTACATTAGATCCAATCGCCCGACTCCTTGCGGCTCTCCGAAATGGTGGCTGAAATGGAGACGACCCAACACGTGGCTGGTGGTGGCAGTGAGGATGCTGGTATAGATACGTATAGTATCCGAAAACATATAATATAGCTCTACCTTGAACCTGAGTGACCTCTGTTTTGGAGCACCCAAAGGTCAAATGGGTTCTAGGTTCTAGGTATGTATATATATATATATTCTGACAACAAAACCATCGAAGTTCGCCTTCAGATCCCCAATCATGATGTAATTATATGTATAGTCTAGTTATTGATTGAAATATCATTGGCTACCCTTACCCTCGGGAAAATGAAGGTCCAGCCATTCGGCTCCGGAATTTCGCAGACTGGATTACAAGACCCGCAGCGACAAACCTCCACGCGGCCCTGCGCACGACAAGTGCGCGTGGGTCCCCGCGCGCGCTAAACCGAGACCGAGCCGCTCGAGAGAGAGCTTCTCGAAGAAGGTCACGTCACCGTCGAAAGGCGCGCACACCATGGTGCACTCCTCTCTGTGTGTGCTCTCTCTCTCTCTCTCTCACCACGCCACAGATCTTCAGTGGGAGGAGGACATGTGGAGCACTAGTAAGAAGGTTTGGCCGCACGACCCACCAGTGCAAAAGCAAGGTGGTCCTCTGCCTGGCTGCTAACCTTTTCAAAGGAACCAATCCCCCCAAATCACGGGACTTTCATGTAGACCTGTGCCCTTTTTGAGGACAGTTCCGGCTGCTACCACTTCCAGTCCAAACCCAAATACTTTGTTTCAATGAAAGCACTTGGACCCGATACCCGCTGCACTTCAGCATCTCACAGTTCAGACATTGTGACAACCGCAGTGCCGAGCGAGGATCATCCATTTTTTGGACGACCTTCCGGAGGATCTGTTTTTGGCATGCTCCATGTCCCCTATGGATACAAATACCTTCTGAAAAGATGGTTGGGGTGGGTGCCAGGGGGGTCTAACTACATTCTGAGGAGGTGGGCCAGGAGCCCTAGGGCATGTTCATCCGGACCCGGTTCTTGTGTCCAATGTCTGACATAGTTCGAGCGACCGCGGCGCCAAGGACCACCGCTCCAAAATGAATCGAATTGTCTATTTCGACTTCTTAGCTTCCAACCGGTTGGAGCGGCGGAGTGCTCTTCAAACATCTCCCAGCGGATCCAGGCAAACCACGATGTCGTGCCGCACCTGCTTGTCATTGACCTGGCTCACGTGCCACAGATTGACCTTGGGAGGCAGCTTCTCCTGGAGCGCGGAGCCGGATCGAAGGGATCGCGATGCGGCAGGGCTGAAGACCAGGCGAACGACTGGCCAGACCGAGGTGCTGACACGGACCCAGGCACCGACATAAACCCATGGAATGTCCAAAACGTATTTATAAATCTATATACCCTGGAAGTCCAGTCGACCATTTTTTGAATCGTTGATCTGGTTTCGTAGTGTATATAGTGAATCCATGGTTGTTCGGTAAAGGCTATTAAAACAATGGCGGTTCGACTTCTAGGGTAGCATGGTCTTTAGGTGATCCGAGAGGCATGTCCGCTACTTCGATGCCCAAAAATCGTGGACTTCTAGGCTAATAAGAGTCAATGAGTGTGTCCCACCTCAAATTGGCATGTGGACCCATGGGGCTGGCATTTGAAGTGCTGCGCCTTTGCTAGGAGCAAGAAGCTACTAGTAGCTGCTGGCATTACTACTAGTAACAAGAAGCTACCATATAGTAACATCTAGTGGGCATCGCTACTAGTAACTAGTAACCAAGGGCTAGCATTTGAGCTCATTGAGGAGTGTGCACGCACTTCGTCCCCCCCCGGCCCGGTTTGGAGAACGCTCGCGTTCCGTGGGGGTTCCTACCGTGCGCGTTCTGCGCCTGGACGGCGGCTTTGACCTGGGTCCACTGCTGCTCGGCGGGCACGCCCTTGAACATCGTCACCACGCCGCCTGAGGACACCGCCACGAAAGGAAGCCAGGAGAGGCCAGAAAAACCACCAGAAAGTGCTTGGATCATCTTGGATCGTTGGATCATGTTTGATCCTGAAAGGAGGGTTGAGGACCATTGGGTTTCAATCTCGGATGACATTCCCAAACAGGAATGGAGCGAGCAAGCGTCGCGTCCACGTCCATCGCAGTTCCAAGCCTGCAGCCCCACACCGGCCCACCGCCCTGCAGCCCCACACCGGCCCTTTCATCACCAAACTCTCCGCCTCGGGTCCTTCTTTTTCAACATCGCCGCCAGGGGTCCCTCGCCGGATCACTCATGCGCTTGAGCCTCGCCACTTCCCGTGGCCGGTGTCGAGGGTCCTTGGGCTTCGCGGTGGCGGAGAAGAGTTGCTCAGAAGCTCCGCTCTTGCCTCAAAGGACGGGCTTCAGGACGGTTTAAGCCTCATGGGACTACCCCATCTCCCCCTCCAACCATGTGTACAAATGGCTTGGCTTCAGGGAGTCTCGTTTCACCAGACCTTGCTTCACCTTCATCCCAGCATCGCATAAGACTTAGTGCACGAAAGTGAACCAGTTTCCAGGTTCCAACCAGGTCCACCCAGCATCTTGGGCACAAGAAACCAAACGGCCCGTTTTTTAAAGGGGACCAACAACAGGAGGAAAAAAACAGTTCGGAGACCCCAACTTTTTTATTTCTCTCTCTCTCTCTCTCTCTCTTTATTTCGGGCCCCGGTGGCGGAAGATGATCCGCTTCTTGCGCCGTTCAAAGTGAAAGCCTTGGCGCCGCAGCAGGGTCTCCAACTTCCGTTCGCGCCGCCGCGGCTTCGGCTCCGCTTCCGCGTCCGCCTTGTCCGGAGGCTCCGGCGCCGCGTCGGCCGGAGGATGCGCGGCTTCGTCGTCGGAGTCGTCCTCCACCCCGAGCCTGTCGTGCACAGGATGGCACCAGAAACCAGGCACCTGGAATGCCTGGAAGAGCAAAGCCCTGCAATCCTTTCGTCCGGTGGGTTTTGGGACACCCCGAATCAGCTCCAAGATCGAGGCTTTTCCTACAGTAATTGTTTCCTAGACACCTCAAACGGGTTTGGTCTTGGAAGGGGGGGGTCCATTTGGTCCTAGAAGGGGGGTGCTGGAAGTTGGAAACTTCATCATCCTTCATCAAACCAAAGCGTGGAATCGATGGCAGGCACTGAAGGTCCAAAAAAAGCCTGGAAGGAACTGGCGTGGGGCCCCAAAAGTGGCCCAAAAAGCATGTGTTGGGTGTATAATGGTGCATACCTGGATTCCAACGATGCAAAATCTATTCCTTTTGGCTGGTTTTTGTTGGATGGTGTATTAATTAATGGTGTATATACCATGTCCATCTGAGCAGCCGCTTCGATATGTTTCCAAATGTTTCCAACGACAAGTCCATTCTTCCCAACATGTCTGGCCGCAGGAAAAAGTTGTGCCCAGTGGCATCACGAGCTCTTCTGCCTCCTCGATGGCTGCATCCACCTGGTGGGCCACGTTCACCTCCAGCTCGTGCAAGGACTGTGAAAGGTCCGGCAGCTCAGTTCTTCCGTCCACCTCTTCCACGGGCCTGGGCGAGTGGTTGGCCGGGCGAATCCTGGAAGTCAGAGATGTTCACCACATCCATGTCACGAAGGTCGGACAATTCAAAGGACCCGTAAAATGTAAGCTAACCCAGCGCATCCAGGCAAACCACGATGTCGCTGGTAACCAGTGGTTCCAAAGACTAAACCCATAGACCTAGAATCCCTGGTTCCTTATAGACGTGGGAGCTGCCTGGGATCCACTGGGTAAGCAAAAGGCGGGTTTTTAGTGGTAAATGTCGGTCACACACAGATCGTCTGGGTTGAATCTGTGAATCCATACGAGGCCGCACCGCCGTCCACCTGGCACCGAGTGGCAGGTTCAGGAAGGCCTCAGCCTCCTCCAAGCTCCCTGGCAGCACTCCCTCGCCCACGTCCTCCAGAGCCTCCAGGAAGCGAATGCCCTGCAGCGCTGAGATGCGACCGCGTCGCAGGTGCTCGCGCAGGTGCTCGGCGGCCACGCGCTGGCGCCAGAGGCTCAGGGTCTGGCGCAGTTGCGCCTCCAGAGCGTCCAGGTTGCGGAAAATAAGCATGGGCCAACCAAAACGCTGAGCCATGTGACCTGAACGGAAAGAACAACTCTCAGCGATGGGTGGAGGGAAAAAGCCTTTTTGAAGGATACCCTGGAAGTCCAAAGATTGCATGTTGACTGACTGAAGTCAAGGATATTCCTCGGGTCACCTAGTCAGACCATTCTTTTCTAGTCTTGGACTCCTAGGGGATAGCGTATGTTGGGTGGATTATGGTAGATTCGTTTTTGGTGGGCCTTTTTCAACTTCAGAGGCTGTCGCCGCCAGACTGTAGCAAGGTCACCGATCCATCCTATCCTCAAACATGGGGTCCTTCCACCTGATCCAAGCAACTGTAGCTGATCTGCAGGAAATGCACCGGCAAGCGCTGCCACACGAGGGAGAACATCACGTGGGCCGTCATGGCCAAGCTGATGAGCGTCACCGGCCAGCCATAGCTGGCGGACGCTGCGAGCCAAATGAGGACGCCCGGAAGGAGGGGCAGCAGGTGAAAGGACCGGCCTTGGCCGTCCAGCGGCACGCCTCTGAGCCAGAGCCAAGTCTGAAAGCTAGACGTCAGCGCCGCGGCAGTTGGGAATCCGAACATCATCCGAGAGATGAGAGTCATCAAGAGCAAGGCCAAGGCTACAGCCGTGAGGGCCAAGGATAAGGTCCACCATATAGGGGCCACCTCCAGGGAAAGGCGTTGAGATTCTCGCAGCTCCTGTAAGCCTCTGAGGGATTCGTTCAGCATAGCAGGCAGGCCCTGCTTGGACAAGTGCCCCTCATTGGCGGCGTTGAAGGTGCTCTGCCGAATGTGCCGCGCTAAGTCCTTTGGGTGCTGAAGCTTCGCGTCCAGGTCTGTCTGGATCACCGCCTTAGTTTGAAGCATCTTCGTTGCATAGTGCTGGGTCTGCAGGTACTCCACCAAGCTGCTGACAAACTGTTGGATCTCTGCCCTACTGGCCCGCACCACCGCCTCCAAGTTCCTCAACATGGCTCTACGAAGCTGGCCGCCCTGCAAAATGCTCAGGTCCAAGTCCCTTGCGAAGAGCAATCTTGGCATCAAATCCAGCCCATCCCCGGCAATGGCGGCGCACCACTCCAGAGTGCATCCCCTTAAGCCATGTACCATATGCGCCTGCAAGCGTCTCAGAATTTCCATGGCAGATCGCTTCAGCAGTACATGTGCCACAAACTCCGCGCGGGCCTGCATCTGCGCAGTGGTGGCACGTCTCACTTGGCAATCCACCAGCTTTTGCTCCCCCTTCATGCCCATCACCTGAAAGCCTGTGTCTGTGGAGCCCTTTCGCTTCGACCAGGTGTTAGGGTGCTCGAAGTTGCTGGCCCAAAGCCCCGCCTCCGAGGCTGCAAAGCCTAGGGCCTCCACCTTGGAGTGAAACTCGAGGCTGTCGCCCCGACCTTGCACGAAGTGCCCCGAGCTGCACACGAAGCCCAAGGATTGCCGGAGGCTCTGCAACGCCGCGCGCGCGGCGCCGCGCGGCTGCGCGTGCAACTCACAGAGCTCCGGCCCCTGAGCCAAGCACAGTCGGAACACTTCGTCTTCATCCGCGTGCAGCGTCGGCAGCGGCCCGGGCTCCCGCACCAGGTCAGAGAGCCAGGAGGTGATGATGGGTTCTGCCGAGTGGATGCTTTGGATGGTCGACCCAAAGGAGCACATCCTGCAATTGGCGCGAGAAACCGAGCGCATATTTACCCTCCATGAAACAATCATGGAAGTGGAATACAGCCTGTTCATAGAGGAATTCAGCCTTCCAAGGGGCCTTGTTCCACTTCCATGTTTGTTTGATGGAGGGTAAAAAATTCTTCCAGGAGTCACAGAGGGATGGCCTTCAGTCTCTACGAGGAAGCACCCCTTTGTAACTGCTGGTTCGGGTTGGGTTAGCTATGGTATTTCACCCAGTTCGGGGATTATTTAGAAAAAAAACATCGCCCGATGGGCTAAATCCAAGCATCTCAGGCCAATGGTGTTGGACCAGCGCGGCGTCTCCAAAGAGCAGCGCCACCGCAGCTTGTACAAAGTCCAGCGGCTCCGTATCACCAAGAATGGGCAAGTTGGACAAGGTGTCACCTTTCCGGTCTTTCAAACGCTGCCGAAGGTCATGAAGCTTCAGTCCAAAGACCTTGGAATAGTGCTGCATGTAGGCTTCATACAAGTCATTCCTGGCACAGCTGGCCTGCTTTTTCACCTCTTCCGCCCTAGACCTCAACTCCTCCAGCTCCTTCTCCCACTTCTGCCTGCGCCGCCGCCGGTCGTAGTCCAGCGCAACTCCTGCAGCCAGAGTGCCCACCACCAGCGTCCCCGCGATGGCCGCCGAGGCGCTGGACATGCGCTCCACAAACGACGCGCCCTCCCCCACGTCAGGAGCCCCAAGATCTGCCAGGAGAGGTCGTGTACCGAGGGCCGTGACCGTGACCATTGTGGGCCACCAACCAACCAAAATATGGTCTGGGACCAATCACAGTCGTGCTTGGAGTGTATTTCATATTGTCTTGTTATTGTACTCCAATTACTTGTTAACAATTCTATTCGATGTCTATTCCTTACAAAACTATAGGCTATGGATGGCTATGGGCCGCCCTGCTATACTAAAAAACTATTTCTGCCTGGTGGTGGTGGCTTCTCCACAAACAAACTTCAACTCTTGCGAATGCAAGCTCACCATCTGTACCTGCCGACCACCTCCCTGTGGCCCTCTTTTCAGAGGCACACATCCATGCACCCACCCGCTTCATGATCTGCACAATGGACGCTACGAACGGAGATGCTCGGACGCTACGAGGGCCGGGGCTCCTGGCCTTACTACCAGTAACAAGAAGCTACTACCAGGACCCTCCTGTCGGGGTGCCCAATGGACTACCCCACACTATAGGCTTCCAATGGGCACCCTGACAGGAGGGTCCTGGTACTAGGCACGAATGACAAGGGGGCCAGCCTCAACGGATCGGGCCCACACTGCGAAGATGTGCATGCAACTGGACCCGTCACAAGCTCCCGAAAGAGGCGCTAGCACTGAAGTGGAAGCTGCCAGCAAAAAAGGGGGTAGTGGAAGGTCTATGAAAGACCTTGGAAGTCTTTTTGCTACTGTGACACTTCTCTTTCTACTACACGGCCTACAATGGTCAGCTCACACACACATGCCATGGATGAGTTCGTCCTTAGCCACCGCTTCGGCGAACTGCCCCAGCTCACTTGGAGAACTGCCCCAACCAAATGGTGTTACAGTCGGTGTTTGAGACACCTGGTGTAACCGGCATTGGACCACACTGGAAGACTAGCCGACCCAACCCCGTTGCACCAGTCTCTTCGGTGTGTAGCGCATCATCCGCCACTCCGCCCATCACCCCAACTGCCCAAATACATGCCACCACTCCGCCCTGGACCGAGGGAAAGATGTTCCAAATCTTTGTGCGGCGTCCTAGTTGCAGGTGGCGTTTCTCGGGCCCCTACCTTACTTATAGATCTCCAGGATGGACACCCATTTTCCAGTGCTATATACCAGGATCATCCAATGGGTGTCCAATAGACTACCCTACTTACAGGTCTCCATTGGGCACCCGTTCGAAGTGCTAGGTAGGTCCAAAAGCCCAGGAAAAAAAAAGCAACGCATCACAGCCGATTCGATCGCCCAGGCACCATCATGCGCATGGATGGAGTTCTTCTTCTGATGAGTCGGCCTCAAAAAGTGGGCTCGGCATCGGCATCCCAAAGCGGTCACCAACACATCATGCGTGGTGCAAGGATTTCCCACATGCCGCATGTTTCCAGATATTTTTGTCATATCAGACTACAAAATGTGCAAAAATAGAAAAATCACAGGCTCATAAGGCTCGGAGAGGCTTTTTGCCATCCAAATCGGATGGAAACTACACTCCCACGAAAACCTCACATGGAAGTGGAAACCACCCTATTTGTAGAGGAATATCGTCTTCCCAAAAGGGCAATGGTCCATTTCCATTTCCAGCGAGTGAGTTGGAGGGTAGTCAAGATTCTATGTTCCAGGACCTACCCAGTGACCGAACTTTGGTTGTGACCTTTTACAAGCCTCTTCGTGACCGAACCAACGAGGGGATGATGCCTCGGCCACTGCCCCAATTCGAATCCGCGCCCGGTTCGCAACACATAGGGTTTGGTTCGGGTCCGGACCCCTGCGTGAAACGGTGGAGAAGGTCCGACCCCTGCCATGGCGAGCCCAAGGATTCTTAGGGTGGGAAGATTCTATGTTATGGAATTTCAGATTCTCGAGGCCTGACCATCATATGGAGGTGATGGAAGGGGGTTCGAATCCATCCCGATCTGGAGGGGGTGCAGTGGCTGTTTGGGGAGACGAAGTACGGCACTCTTGGAACGTGGCAAGTTCTGAAGCCAATGGCAAGACTTTTTGAGATGCAGGGGCAGCTATAGGAAGCGAGAACTGACCAGGCCGAATGCTTGGGCCTCGCCAGTTCCGTGCAGCCACCCAATTCTCTAAACCTGGCCTATCACTTCTGAACCTCTTCATGGGGGCGATTCGAGATCAAAGTCTAGAGTCTACCCCAAAAAAAAATTGAGAGCTGCCAAAAAAGGACCAAGAGAGGTTGGGCAGCCCTATAGAGCCCATCTCATATGTACCACTACAGGGTCCTAGTTCGGGTCTCTCAACCTCTCTTGCGATGAGAAAAGAACAGAAAACCCTGAGCCTCCGCGCGCCGAACCTTCGTCCGCCCCCCAGGCCGGAGTTCTTCATCTCCGGCGCCCGGACCGTCGGACCGTCGGACGGACGGACACTCCGAGGCGCTTCGATTCCAACTTCGGCCTCGGGGGTGCAACGCTCTACGCTCTTCGAGCGCGTTTCACACTCCGGGTGACGGCGATCTTCGGCAGGTCTGCCCCGGGTTGAACGATGGATGTTCGGGGATCCCTATCCCTATAGGGCTCCAGTCGTACGTTCTAAGAAGGTGGGACCTGGGGTGGGTGCCTGGAGGGTCCAAACACCTTCTGAGGAGGTACGGCTGGAGCTGTAGGGGATGGGAAGCTGTCCACCTTTGACGAGGTGGATGGGGATGATGCTCTGCTCTGCGACGTGTCGGGACCACCGAAGTCGGAGGGGCCGTCCAGGCGGGCCGCGGGTGAAGGGGACCCACACCCAAGAGGGGATTTCATCCGACCTCACCCCAACACGTCGTCCAAACCACCCGAAGAATCCGGGCCCGAACCAACATGTAGTAGGGGTTTGGTTCGGGTCCGGACCCCTGCCATGGAGGGCCCGAGGCTTCTTAGGGCCCAAGAAGGTCGGTCTCACGGCCAGTTCTGCAGCCCCGCGACAGGGCGGCGTTGCCCGGGCGCCGAAGAGCGGTCTGGCCCTGGAAGGGCGTGGATGGGGGCGGCACGTGGAAAGCGAGTCCAGGAGGAGGGGAGAAAAGTACGTAACATGTCCCAGACACGTACCAGGAGTCACAAGACGGTGTGGTTTTTAGTAAGTGAGTGGATCATGGGCACCCCTATCCTCCAAGAGGCACCCCGTCTTGTGACTCCTCGATCTCTGGTATATGTTTATATATAAATGATACATAATCATGGGACTGTATTGGTTGAGAAGGGGGCAATGGGGCGGCTAAAGGTGGTTCGGAACCCAAAATGTCTGAAATCTTCCCCAGGTTCCCAGGCTTGGGACCCATGAACTCACCCAGCTTTGGAGAAAAAAACTACCCTAGGGCTCCAGTCGTACGTTTAGAGGCTCCAAATATGTCCAAATACCTTCTGAGGAGGTACTTGGCGCAGTAGGGCTCCACATCGCCGTGTTTTTTCTTCGGCACCACCCGGGAAGATGGATGCCCAACGCCCCCGACCCGACCTGTCCAATCATGGGTCCATCTGCGGGCGTTCGAGGGCAAACTCCGAGTTCAAGAACATAGAAGTGGAAAACCTGTTTGCACCTGGAGGTCGACCTGTTCGTGCCTCGGAAAATGGGTACAGTCGTACCTGTCTTTATGGGGTCATGTCCCATTTTCTAAGGTACTTTAGAGGGTCCAGGTAGCGGAAAATGGTCATCCAAGGGGCCATGTTTCACTTCAATGATTGAATATATAATAATTGTTTCAGGGAGTGTGCTTATCTTTTCTGCATTGGCAAGAGGCTCAAGTCATCTTTATAAATCTGATGCTTGGGAAGCACAATGCCAAAAAAATGCACGTCGCAAAAAACCCAGTGGATTCCACTTTCCCTTCGCTTCGCGGTCCACCCGCGCGTTTCCTTACCACCCGCGCGTTTCCTTACCACCGGCTGCCCGGTCCGGCCCCTCCGTGGCTCGCCGCGCCTCGTTTAATTCGATCTTGGACTCTTTGAGCGCAGCGATCACGTCTTCCTCTCCGATCGCTCTCGCTGCGCACTCCGCCCGGAGCCACATCCGCCCGGACGAGTCCCGAGTCCATCCGGATCTCAGTGGGTGGTCCCGGTCAAAGAGGTCCGGAGGGGTCAGGTCAAGGACACGAAGAGGTCCGGAGCCCAACTTGATCAGCAGGAGTTTCAGCCCAGGTCACCCATGGTTTGACCTGCCAGGGCCCAGAACCATGCTGTTGAGACCTGTAGAGTCGGAGGCTGGAAATTGTTCAAGGAAGACTTACCAGGGCCCCCGTTTCAGGATGTCGAATTCTAGCTCCTTAGAGCTGAAGGGATGTCCATGAACCACCCCTATCCGGGGGCCCTGGTAGAAGACGTTTTGATGTAGGAAACTTGAGTGAAAACTTCGGCAAGGTCGAGGCGAACTGGACTTCTAAGGGCCAGTTCTAGATATGTGACGGATCAATGCCGATCAAGCCAGACCCCACAGGCACCACCCCAATGTAGGCATATATGATGGCATACGACATGGAGTGTCTGAGATTGATTTAATAGCCTGAATCCCGAACAACCATCGAACAAAAAAAAATGTTTTACTATATGGATTTGACTGCAAAAACTAGGTCAAGCGTTCATTTCATGGTCGAGCCGAAGGCCAAAAAGGGTAGTCTCGTTTAAAAAAACAACACCCTGGGAGTCCAAGACCTTGCTTTTTAAATGGTTGGCCTGGTAGTGGAAAACCTCTTAGTAAAACAATTGGTTTGTTCATGTTTGTTCGGTACCAACCATTCAAAACCTATGTTGGTGTCGAAGCCGCCGGTTCTTCCTCCGAGCAAAGGTCGATCCAACGAACCCGGAGAACCTTGGTGGCGCGCATGTTCTTCATCTTGTTGCAGCTCAGGATGAGCTGCAATTCCTCAGAGAAGGATCCAAATCACCCAAAACTGCCCGCCCAGGCCTAGGTAGGCCTGGCCCCAGGTGTCTTTTTGGCTCCCTTTCAACCAGAAAGCCTTGCGTTGGTCCGATGATCATGTAAAAAACACCACCGGAACATGAGGTGCTCGTAGCGAAGGAAGCACGAAGCCTTGTTTCAGTAAGAAAGTGTCTGGTAGCCGTTTATATAAAACCACACCTTTCTGCTGGAGCCTCCAGGCTCAGCGTCACAAATCCTGTCGCAAAACTTTGAGGAGAGCGACCCAACTTACAGTGCCTCACAACAATTCGCTCCCTTTAGGAATTACCCCCTGTCCCTTCGACAAAACCGTGGTCTTTCTATGTTTTTGACACACATGGCGGGGTGCGAAAACACTTCACCGTGCTTCGGAAGCCCATGATTGGGTGATGATCCCGAAACCGGTTCTTTTTTGTTTTTTTACTATAGCATATTTTTGGACAAAAACCGGTCTTCCCACTCTCATTAATTAATGGTCATGAGGGGGCCCATCTTCCATCACATGTTTGCAGGATGGACATCCGAAAGGGATGAAAACTTCCCCGGGGAAACCCCCCCGCACCTGGCGCAAATCCTTGGAAGCTGTTGATGAATATTTCACACCACCCAGTTGAACCGTTGGATCATAAAGTGAAAAAATCCACCGTACCACAGCAGCTGATGGACAAAAAACATCTCAACTGTCAACAGGTGTTTTTTTCCTTGGTTCGGGCGCCCGAAACCGACCTGCTCTCCTTCTCCGAAACCAAGAACGCACCGAGCGGTAGGCGTGTGACGAAAGAAGGACCCCCAAAACAGAAGGCCGCGCCACTCATCCGAAAGTCCCATCGAATGTCCAAAGGCTATTACTTTTCTCCAAGAGGTTGAAATTCCTTTTCAGGCCCCCGAAAGACCATGATTTTTTATACCCGTTGACTCCTAAATGATTCAATTCCGAAGGGTCCAGCCAGCCATCTTTGTCCGCGGTGATCTTCTCGTGAAAGAACTTGTCGTACTTCAGATTCTCATCCGAGAGGTAGTACTCCACCTACATTCCCACTCACTAATTATGGGAGGGTAGACATCCTGGACTAGATCCAACATGGGAAATCCAACAAACGAATAGAAATCTGCATGGTCGTGGCGCCCGTCGTGCTGTCACCCGTAGAAACCGTTTGAACATGACCATCACAAAGAACACAACTTTACTCTACCCCTAGCCTTCCCAAGGGCCAAGAGATTCTCAAAGTGGTTGATCTGGCATTGGTTGTTCGGCACAGCCTATTATTGAATCAATGGTGGTGGGAATCCGAGGACTACTCTAAGCAACAAGGGTCTTTCTCCACGTCCGCATCGTCCGCGCCGCCTGCGCCTCTAACAGCGAACCGTCCCGAGGCTGGGGCGCCGCTATATAAGCGACGTACTTAAGTCAACCCACTTCGCGTGAAGTCAACTTACTGCATGGGCACAAGGCTTCAGCGAGAAGCCAACCCACTCGCGTGAAGTCGACTCATTTTGGTCAATATACAATGGACACACTTGAATAATTAGCACGGCATGACAGTGATATGTTCAAGGAAAACTGTGCGCACACGGTGTTGTGGCTGGCACTTCTGCCTTGCTTTCTAGATGTTTCAAGCCCAAATTTCAATGGCACAGCGCCATTCACACCAATGCGCAACTTAGAGAACAGCTAGGTTGCATGCGCACACTCAAGTGACATGTAGGCCTCTGCACGAGCCCCGTGCGACCCCACGCGAGGTTCGTGCGAACACGACTCCTACTCCCACAGCTTCCCACAGTTGTGGCAAGCAAATTACATAGCACTGGCCTCCCTACTAGCGATAGCGGTAGCCTCCAACCTACTAGTGATGGGTGGCACGAAATGTTTGTTTGAGGCAGAGCCTGGTTGGTGGTCTCCCGCGTAACCACCGCTTCCAGCATCTCTTGGAGCATCATGGTGTTGGACTTGAGGAGCACACAGTTCGCCACGCTGGACGGCGGGTACCACATACATAAGCATGACTCCAGTGGTGACACACACACACAATCACACAGGCAGTCCTCAAAGTCCGTTGCACTCGAAGTGACGGACCCGACCCGACGCACCGATGGTGTGAAGGCGCAAGTGCTGAGTGTCCAAATCAGGCGGCACCTCCTCCATCTTCGCTCTGACTTCACGGATAGAGTAGATCACAACGTCGTTTCCGGGTAACTCTGATACCGAAAGTCTTGCTCATCACTTTCAAAGCCGGAACCCTGAGGTCTGCCAGCAGGATGGTTGTCGAGCGCAACGTCCATCGCCTGACGTAAAGAGCTGTTTGTGGAGTGCTGCAACTTTACCAGGTTCCATCACAGTCATGGGGTGTGTATTCTGTTCCGCGGTTGGATACGCCTTGATGCGTGACTTGTAGTCAGAGAGGTCCGGGACATCATAGACGTTCTCCAGCTCTCTTTGTATGTCCTCAACATGACTAAACAAAGGTATGAGCTTTCGCTGGAGACAGATCGCTGGCGGTTGTGATCTGTGAGAGACACGCCTGAAGGATCTATTTCGCATGTGCCATGTGGATGGAAAAAGTTCAAGATGGAAAAACCTTGCCCATCTGTGGTCTGACCCTCTTCCGGCTCAAAACGGCAACTGACATTGTGGCAACTTGCGATTTGATTTGCTAGTGGTGCCAGTACACTCAAAGCGCATGAAACATACGTGCGGCCAGCGTGTGCACGCGTGCGTTCCCACTTCCTCTTTGGAAGTTGGCTCCATCAATGTCCGAACAGCCTGAATTGAACATCACTTCGTGAGGCAGGCTGCATCGTCAAGTTCAGCCTGCCCAATGCGCGCGAAGGCCTTGCCGGGGAATGTGATAAACTTCAAATTCCTGAAGCCGTGGCAAAGTTCAGACAGAGTGGCAATCCTGAGAGTTGCGACAGAGTTCCCTTTTTTGCCCTTTTTGGTGTTATTACCTTGGCAGATTACAGCGGTCATGCAACACGCGCAGAGTTATGACAGAGTGACGACAGGGTTGTGACAGAGTTAAAACATGTTATGTTGCCCTTTTGGGGGTTCTTACCTTGGCAGATTACAGTTGTCACGCAACACGCGCGCAGAGTAAAGACAGTATTAGAGCATTCCTGTTCTCTTTTCCTCTTTCCTCTTCTTTATTTACCCCTTCTTCTATCTTCTTCTTCCTGTGGCGCCCGCGCAGGATGGAGGAGTTAAGACAAAGGTCACACTTGGGTGACCTGTGCCTCTTCCTTGCCTGCTATCCTTTTCCTTTGTTCTTTCCCCGTCGTTCTTTTCTGTTCCCAATCCTCTACACGGGGTGGAGGAGTTAAGACAGAGCACGGCTAAGCGGCTAAGTTGCAGCAGCAGCAGCACCAGCAGCAGCCAACCAGCAGCACCAGCAGCAGCCAACCAGCAGCAGCAGCAGCAGCCAACCTCACTTCACTCCGTGACCCTTCACTCCGTGGAAGCTGCCCCGCCCCAAAGAACAGATTCATAAGTTTCAGAAATACAAACGAGTTACAATCAGGCACACCATGGGCACAACACAAAACATGTGTTCTAGATCAATACAATCTATGCTTAGGCATCCCTGTACAAGCTGAGTCGACTTAACGCCATGTAGCAGCAGTCACAAAGGGGTGCTTAATGGAGGTTAGGGGTGCCCATTATCCACTCACTTAGGGACTAAACACCATGACTGCTGGTACCAGCACCGGACTTCTGAATTCGGCAGGCAGGTCTCTTCTGAATCCTTTTGGAGACGATGTCAAGTGGCGACAGTGGTGACCTGTAGAGTTGGGTACTGGGTAGATGTTTTCGTTCAAGTAGGCAAGTCTTCTAAGCACCATATAGGTCCTGTTTTGGGGAGGGGTAGGGTCCGAAACAACAGGCACTCCTCCCGCCGCTCTTTTCGACCAGGAGTCTTTAGAACAGGGTGGTAAACCCCTAGAATACCTGAATTATTGTTAAACTCCTGCTCATACTGCTGACACAACCATACGGCTGCAAGAAGTAGCCAAACAAAAGTGGTTGAAACATGTCAAACTAAAAACATATCTGACAATCAAGGTCTGAACTATAAAGAAGGTTCCACCCATGTAAAATATGTTTCTTCGACTCCGCGTGGAACCGGCTTCGCCTGGTTCACCGAAGCCTCACCACGCCCCGGCGCCTGAAGCCGCACCACCTGCGGATCCGGCGGCGTCGGCTTCAGCCGCTTTGCGTCCTCCGGAGCCGACGCGTCCTGGCGGATTCCGAGGCGGGCCCGGGGCGCGTACGGGGCAGTGGGGCGACCGGGGCACAGGAACAAAAACAGACAAAAACGATTGAAAAGAGTTCGGTGGAATTCGGTGGAACCCAGTACCCTTGGTGGGGATCCAGTCGTACCTCAAATTGGGTGATGACGGAGACACTGTTATGTGGAGGGATCCAGTCCTACCTTCTGAGAAGGTACTTGGATTGCTAGAGATAGTAAAAGAGCCGGTTTTATGTAAATCCTTAGGCAAAACTTTGCGGCAAAACTATAGTAAAGTAATACTGCGAGAATCTGCAAGGCATTGAAGACATGGGTGGTTTGTTGGTAGCGAAGAGGGGTGATGGTGGTGATTTGTGGCACCGGTGCATGATAAGAGCCCAGCGCCACGCAGGGGGCTCAGCTAGTGCAAGTTGGCCAATCCCTTTTGAAGCTACCCTCACCCGTACCCGTTTGCCTTCCGCTCATTTTTTCCATTTCCATATGCAGCAAGTGCAGTGAAGCGCGCCGCCTAGCAAGATGAATTCAGGTCTGTACAGCGCCAGCAAAGTCAGGTCCGTGAGGCTCGTGCTCATAGTTGCTGACTGCTAAGGATCGCATCCATTCATACTCATCGGGAGCCTCATCCAGTGCTTCGCACTGGGGTCTCAACCGATGAGCGTACAGTTGCGCGATCATGGCGCAGAGCTGTGGTGTGCATTCCTTCAGCTTTGCTGTTTTGAAGGAAACACCATCTCTTCCAATCGAAACAGCCTTTGGCCGTTCCGATGTCCTACTACGAAGTTCAAAATCATGTGTTACGTCGGAAGTCACACCGCTCAGCAAGAACCTTGTTGGCTTCGGGCTGCCCTGGTGATAAAAGCCCTGCTCCAGCCGAAGCTCCGTGAAAAGACCTGTTTGTCTAAACCATTCGAGCAGAGCTGTTTTCCAGATGCTTGGCGACTTCTTCTTGGCCGGATTATGGAGGCCTGGATCATCCGGGTCCCTGGCCACTGACCAAGTTTCACATGGTGGCCCAGCAAGCACTCGCCGTTGTGTGTCCTCCTTTAATAGGTTGCAGCAGGTGCTGGACACCATGACATCTACCGATAACACCCAAAGAGTAACTCCAGGTTCTGGCTCTAGCGCCTCCAGGGCATCCTGGAAGGTCGCCACGTCTCCTTCGTCCACTGAAAAGGTGAAAGAAATACTTTTCCCTGAAGGCTCGCTGGGGTCGGCAGATCTGGATTCGGCTGCATCCCATAGCAGCAATCGGATCTCCGCGCGAGCTTCCGTCAATCCTGGCTGTGTGCTCCACTCATCTACCCATTGGACGTCATCTTGCCTCGAGATTACATCGCCGTCTCCAAACCAGAGTAGGAAGACTTTCGTATTCCAATCAATCGGGCCATCGCCAAGACTTCTTGCCGCATGGCTTGTGAGCGGTGCCATGAAGTTCTAGAAAACATTTCTTCTTCAAAATACTGCCAATGCCTATCCAGATCTTCAATTCCTTGTCTGCGCATTTGAGTAGAGAAATAGGTCGACCAGATTCAGAGCGACCAGATTCAGAGCGTCGGATAGATTGGAACTGTCTGAAATCGAGCTGAGTCAAGAAGACAATGTTGTCATCGGTCAGATTGGACTCTTCCGCTTGTTCCGACAGTCCGCTGCATGTGGTAGTGTCTTCGCGTTCAACAGCCTGCTCTCTGAGTTCTACAAAGGCTCCATCATACAGCGGAATGTCAACCCAGTATTGGAAGGTGACATCATCCATGACTGCTGTACAGACACTGCATTCTCTACATCTATTACGTGGTAGTACCTGATCGAACAGGAATTCGACACTGACTGGCGCTAAGCTGGCCTGGACAACGGTAGTTCCTAAGACTCTGCGCTCCTCGCTTTCACCCCCCACCAGCAGTGCCCATCTTCTACTGCTGCTGCCTGGGTGTCAAATCAATGTTGGTTGTTTGGCCCCCTCGACTGTCGGAAACGGGCGGACAGGACTTGCTTGCCAGATATACAAGTTCCTATCCCTCCAGACTACTTGTCGGACACCTTTGAGAGATCTCGGCCGATCCCAACGGACCCTGCGGCGCTGACTTTGAAAAATATCATCTTTAAATGCCAGTCATGTAACCACAGGTGCATGTAACCTAGTTCAACAGAATCCCTGGCATATCTATCGAAATTCCATATTGTCTCAGCCGGGGCACGTTGCATGAGCGCAGTGGCATCTGGACATACCGAAGCTGCTTCCTTTTGACCGACTCGGACAGGCTCGATCCAAAGAGTTAGGCCTGCCCCATGATCGGTAATTACGACTTGATCATACTACCAGACCTGCCGATTATCCGGTGCAGCCGATCGCATCGTGCACAGAGTCGTAGGCAGTTCACAAATCAATTGAGCTCCTGTCATCCGGGCAATAGTCCTCACTCGCCTCACTGTGCTGGTGTCATCCGCAAAGAGCACAAGTCTTCGCGGCAATGGCATGCCGACCACATCAATCAGGTAAACTCGATGACCCTGCGAAACATCAACTTCAGGTACCACGATCAGATCAGTAGGCACTGCTCGTAATTGGAGTGGTTGCAGGTCAGGATGGACTAGAGTGACCGCTAGAGGCTTGGGGGGGAAAAACTGCCTCTCAAAGCTTCAGTAGTAGCGAGGCAGTATATGACTTGGCCTTCAGCATCGCACATCTCTGCGCGGTATGAACAACCCTTGGTTGCGGCATCTGCAACATCCATACATAGACAGTGAAGGCATCGGTTGAGACCTGTCCCTTCCTATCGTGTATGTACGCTCTGAGGATATCACTGCTAGTTTCAACCTCCGGGTGTATACCGATAATCCCAAAGAAGGACTGCGTCTGTGTGACTTGCTGTACAAGCTCATCTACCACAGACAGTTCTGCTTCGGGTAAGAACTGCATAAAGGCATTGTCGTCCCCTACGTCATCGAAGTATTCGGGATGGCTGGCATTGGTGCCATTTGTTTCAATACCAGAAAGGCACATTATCTTATGAGGGTCTCGACAAGGCCTCTTGACCTCCTGAATAACAACCTTGATCTTCATACCATGAAAAACAGGCCAGCACGACCCAGGTGAAAACGTCCTGCCATTATGACTGGTAGTGCACACAAAATCTTCCGAGGTGCTTTTGACAGTTTTTCCGATTTGGATGTATAACAGCAGGTTTGTCATCTGCGGCCGAAGTCTTATTGCCTCTTTCGGCTCCTCAGGATCCTCAACAAGAACGATTACAGCTCTCTGGTCATCAGGGCAGGCATAGTCGACTAGGATGTACCTACTCATGTATCCGCCTTGCTCACCCCTCTCGAGATTAGGATATACTAGCCAGAGCTGCAATGGCACATGAACTGGAAATTCATCTATCAAATTTCTCTGGAAAAGGTCCCATAGACTGCGAAATGAGTATCGGATGAGTCAAAAGTCGGCACCTGGATTACGTCGCTCCAATCACTGCCAGTGACAACAAGGACTATCCCTACGAACTCATTGACCCCTGCATGATTTTGGAATTCAGTTATTTGTTTATCGTATTGAACGAAAGCAGTGCGCTGAACAGCTATGGCTTGAAACCACTGTAGGACAACTTCAGGATCAAAATCGTGCCCGGCTACATAGAGGGCACCGTCTTGATCAACATCAAAGAACGGACCCAACAACGAAGGCACTGGAGATCCAACAGTCCCATGAAAATCAGACTCAGAAGCCGCAGGCGCAGGCTGCAGGCTAAGGTCAGAACTCAAAGCAGTGGTGGAAGTCCGGCTGGCTTCTGGGTCATAATCGGTGCTAGTAGCATTGTCAGTAGTGGTTGCATCAAGGTCCTGCTCATCAAGTTGTATGAAGATTCCTTCATGCAAAATGACGATCTGACCTGGGACATAATGTCTGCCATTGGCTCGAACTAAACATGAGGTTTTGGATACGGCAAGCATGGCCTGGGACTAGGACATCGAAAAGTTCCCGGACTTCGGGAAATCCATTCTGACAATTCACTAGTCCTGTACCAGTGAAAACCCTATTGTCGCTGGTATAATCAAACAGCACAGGCAGCACTTGCTCGCTGTCGTGATCAAGAACCAATATGTGAGGAATCGGTCCGCCTCCTATATCAGGGACCGGCATTACCGGAACTAATCTGATGCGGTCAATCGGCACTTGTTGCGCCCACCTGCTTGCAATCTGCAAAACTGCTGGTGTATTCCTATGCAGGGCAACAGGCAAACGATTTCGCATTGGTCCATCCCTTTCGACCCAAAGATGACAGAAAGTCTCTGTCCTAGCGTGCCCTCCTGATTGGGTCAAACTCGGGAATTGCTCTGGCCGTTGTCTGCATAAGGCTTTGCTCGTCCTTACTATTGGGTTCTTGATGGAATGGCAAACAGTCCTCATTTGGAACATCGCTAGTAGTCTCTTCTTCATCACGTTCCGAGATGTCCACTGAGATTCTCTGCCATCCTGCAATATGAATCAGTTGTGCTTCAATTCGAACACCTGCCTCAGTGCAAACAGTGCAGTGATACCTACCTTCACAGAACTCATTCACCTCAGCTTCCTGGAGGTCCAAAGTGGTAAAAAATAAAAAGTGAAACTCGCCACTGTGACACATTTTAAGTCAAAACACGCCACTAGCAAAAAGTGAATTTTCAAACGAAAGCGCAAATCAGCCACCACATTTTTGGAACTCTGCGTGAACCGCGGAGTCACGGGGAGAGAGGAACGAAATCGTCGTGATTTTGGTTGAAGACATGCTCCCACAGTGCCAAAATGTGATGAAAACGTTGCGAAAAAAGAACCATACAAAACGTGCGTTTATTTTCGCAACTTTTCGGAAATGTTCGCAACTTTTCGGGAAAGTTGCATGTTTTAAGCCGCGTCCAGCATTGACAAAAACAGGCGCGAAAACATCAGAAGAGTCCTAGCACAAGTGCGTGTGAGAAGACTTGGCTCAGGCGCTGGATGTTTTTCTTCGCGCCACTGCAAAGCATCAACACGCCCTAAGAGAACAAGCGCCAAACACCAACCATGAGCAAAAAGTACTACTGTGACACTTTTTCGGAAAATACGCCACGTGCCACTGTGATAGAAAAAAGTGCCACTTTGGATCTCCAGGTTATGACATGGACTTTAGTGACTCGGCTTGGCAACAATGCAGCTCTGGACATCATTTGTCCGAAGGCAGTGGGAAGGGTGATTCGTAACAGAACAGGTTTGACATTGAAAGGAATCCTTTGTCGCCTGGCCAGAAGGACACCAGCAATTTCCAGCCAGACAGCACCTAGCGTATGTGCAGACGTGCCGGCTGGAATTTTGTCCAACAAGGCTTTCTTCTGATCCGCTGAAAGTCGCCTATAGACTCCTGCTAGGAATGCAAGTCGGGATACTGACTGAGCATTCACACTTCCGTACACGGACTCAATAGGCGCATTTGGGCCCAAAACTAGGAGGCCGATTTCAGCTTGTGCTGAAATCAGTCCTCCTTTCTTTGGTACTCCAGGTCTTGCCTTTAGGCAACTAGAGACGCCAAGCCAAAGGAGTTCCTTGAAGGGAAATTCAGTTAATTTCCCTTCGACTGAAGTCCCACACAGGTCAAAAATCTGCATGGCTTGGCGACTTACAGGTGTCGTGGCAAAAGCTCTCTGGACAGCCTGATCAACCAGATGACGTAAGCCATCTTCTGGCTTACTTAACATCGATGTCAAGGCTGTCAGATCAAGACGATTTGGAATGGACTGTGAAGTCCACGCCTTCTGAGCTTGCTTTGGCTGCTCTTTAAAATGGTCACTCATATATTGCTCTGCATCCAAAATCGAATCTGGATCATCGCAAGAAAGAGTTACCGCGCCTTCCGTTCAACCAATAAAGAAAACTGGTGGACCTGGATAGCCCAAACGCTCCATACAGTGTGCCAGGGCCAGGGCATAGGTTTGAGGGGTCAACTGATCGGCACATCTTCCAGTCCCGTGTCTGCAAGCAAAAGCACCGACTCTTCTGGCCCGTGGCGCCAGCGACCCCCGGGCGACTGTCGAAGCAATCTCTGGAGGGACCCGGAGACCCCGGTAGTGTGGTAGATATGATATACATATATATACATATATATATATATCAAAAATTATCTACAGTAAATTTATTGCAAACAATCAGATGTTTCTTGCCTTTCCTATCCTGTACTGTTACTTATGTTTTTACTGGGTTCCACCGAACTCTTTTCGATCGTTTTTGTTCCGGTCGCGAGGCGTTTTTGGGCGCTGGCCGTGCCCACTCGGCGACCGCGCCTTTCGCTTCTCTCCGGGCTTGGCCTCCTCCTTCCTCGAGAGTCGGCGCTGTCCAAGCAGCCCGCTGGGTCCGAACGGGCTGTCCATGGCAGGGGGTCGGGCCCTTTCCATCTTCACAAAAGTGACGCTTTCCAGACCCTTTCCAGTTGAGGGCCCGAATTCTTCGGGTGAGAGGAGAAGTCGAGGCACCTTGTGTGGGGTTCCCTGAACCATGGGCACCAGCAGGCCAAGGATCCCAAAAAGTACCCGGGGACATGGTGCAGCATGCAGGTCATCATGAGAACAACACAACTTGGTGGGTATGCATTTTGAGCTATAGGGAGACACACCCAACCCACCCAACTCTTCTCTCAGGGGAGGAAGAGCTGGAAGGTCTCCCTTCAAGACAGGCCACACTTCTCCCGATGGACTTTCCGCGGATGGCACTGCAACTGCACTTCCTTGAAACAGCTCCCTGGCTGGCGGTTTCTCACTTGACAAATATGAGTTGGAGTCGAGTCAGTGGGTCAATAATCATCCCAAAGGTTGAAAACAAAAATGTCTGAAACATTCTGAAACCACCTAGGTCATCCAAAGGGTGTCCAATGGAGATCTCTAGGTATAGGGTAGGGTAGTCTATTGGACACGCCTTGGATGGTCCTGGCACTCAGCTTCAAAATTGGCTTTTTCGATTTTACCCCACTGCCTGAAGCCACTCCAGCCACGAAAGCCACTTTGCGCACTTTGGATTTCGAAACGCCACGGCCACGGCCGAAAGCCAAGCAGGCCAAGCGTCTTTGGCTCCTCTTTGGGCTTCTCCGCCTCCCATTGTGGCATGGGCCCAAGGAGCTCTGCATCAAAACGGTCACAAATCCGTGACGTGTGGAAGCTGCCCCGCCCCAAAGAACAGATTCATAAGTTTCAGAAATACAAACGAGTGACAATCAGGCATACCATGGGCACAACACAAAACATGTGTTCTAGATCAATACAATCTATGCTTAGGCATCCCTGTACAAGCTGAGTCGACTTAACGCTAGTACCTAGTAAAAACTGGTGGGATGGAATTCATCACGGACATGTTCCAAACGGCGCCCGTTCTGTGGACCAAAAGGGATGTGTTCTAAAGGTCATGACCTGCCTGACCATCCCAAGGATCGACCCTGCGTTCCCCAAACCGGAAAAAAAGAAAACACGGATGACTCGTGAGAGTTTGACATAGCTCGGCCCTTCTTGGCACGAACGGACCACTAACTGCGTGGATGGCATGGTCTCTCGGTCCTTCTGACGCACATCCGAAACCAAAGAACATTCCGTGTACCAGCACCCGACTCCCAACTTCTTCATTCGGCCAACAGGTCTCTTCTGAATCCTTTTGGAGACGATGTCAAGTGGCGACAGTGGTGACCTGTAGAGTTGGGTACTGGGTAGATGTTTTCGTTCAATTAGGCAAGTCTTCTAAGCACCATATAGGTCCTGTTTCGGGGCAGGATAGGGTCCGAAACAACAGGCACTCCTCCCGCTGCTCTTTCGACCAGGAGTCTTTAGAACATTGTTGGGGTAAACCCCTAGAATACCTGAGCTTTCGGACCCCTTCGCCACCCCGCCCTTACCTGCCCTTTCCGTCTCGAATGAAACCCCCCCGGCTTCATGGATCGCAAAGCCTCTTCATATGGATCGAAGTATGTTCAAAAAATCGATAAATAGATTCTACATCGTCCATATTGGGACGGGTTTTCTATAATCGTTAAACTCCTGCTCATAATGCTGACACCAACCATACGGCTGCAAGAAATAGCCAAACAAAAGTGGTTGAAACATGTCGAACTAAAAACATATCTGACACCCATTTCAACACAATCAGGATCTGAACTATACAGAAGGTTCCACCCAGATTGCCGCACCACCTGCGGATCCGGCGGCGTCGGCTTCAGCCGCTTCGCGTCCTCCGGAGCCGACGCGTCCTGGCGCTGCTGGCGGACGGAGAGGGGACCGGGGCGGTGGGGGTCGTGGGTTGGGGGGGGGGGGCACCGAACCCAGCCGGAACTTAAAACGATTGAACAGATTTCGGTGGAACCCCGTAAAACATCAGGTAAGCCATGAAAAATCTGTCTTTTTTCTGCAAATCCTTATTAGGTAAAACATATCCTATAGGGATCCAGTTGCACCGTACCTCAGAAGGTGATGACGGAGACACTGTTATGTGGAGGGATCCCGTCGTACCTTCTGAGAAGGTACTTGGATCGCTAGAGATAGTAAAACCATGAAAGAGCCGGTGTTATTAGGCAAAACTTTGCGGGAAAAATATAGTAAAGTAATACTGCGAGAATCTGCAAGACATTGAAGACATGGGTGGTTTGTTGGTAGCGAAGAGGGGTGATGGTGGTGATTTGTGGCACCGGTGCATGATAAGAGCCCAGCGCCACGCAGGGGGCTCAGCTAGCGCAAGTTGGCCAATCCCTTTTGAAGCTACCCTCACCCGTACCCGTTTGCCTTCCGTTCAACCAATAAAGAAAACTGGACCTGGATAGCCCAAACGCTCCATGTGCCAGTGTGCCAGGGCCAGGGCATATTCACCGATCGCTTGGGGTGGTGCCAGAGGGGTCAACTGATCGGCACCTCTTCCAGTCCCGTGGAGTCCAGTGGGGCCGTCGTGGTGCCTCCACTCCGGCCGACCCGATCGGACCGATGGAGGGAGACCTGAATCCAAAGGATCTGGAGGTCGAAGCAATCGGAGGAGGCACCCGGAGACCATTGCAGTCTTGTTGTATACATTTGTATACCATATGTGTTGCGGAAAGCCAGATGTTTCATTGCTTTGCTTCCTGGGTTCCACCGAACTCCTTTTTTTTGGTTCCGGCTGGGTTCGCCCCCCCCCCCCGGGACCCTTTGGGTCGCCTTCCCGGGCCGACGCCACCGCGCCTTTCGCTTCTCTCCGGGCTTGGCTTCTTCGGGCTTCGCCTCCTCCTTCCTCGAGAGTCGTCGGCGCCCGGACCACGAAAAGCCGTCCAGCAGCGCTGGCCCGGATAGTGTCCGAAGGAAGGGGCTCTCCATGGCAGGGGTCGAACTCGCGATAGCAGGGGTCCGGACCTGAACCAAACCCTTTCCAGTTGAGGGCCCAGGATTCTTCGGGTGAGAGGAGAAGTCGAGGCACCTTGTGTTTGGAATCTGTAGGGGGTTCTGACCCTGAACCATGGCACCAGCAGAATGGAGATCTCTAGGTACTGTAGGGTATAGTCTATTTGACATTGAATGGTCCTGGCACTCAGCTTCAATATTGGCTTTTTCGACTTCACCCCACTGCCACTCCAGCCACGAAAGCCGCCACGAAATGGATCTCGAAACGCCACGGCCCACGACGGAAAGCCAAGCAAGCCAAGCGTCTTTGGCTCCTCTTTGGGCTTCTCCGCCTCCTATATCGTCGACCCGACCGAAACGGCGCCGTGGCGCGTGGGCGCGTTCGGAGCATGGCTGGCTGGCCCGGATGGGAGCATGGCTGGAGAGGGGGCCAAGACCCACGGCATGGCCCTTCTTGTCTGCCTGGGCAACTAATACGTCCAATTGCAGCGGAAGAGAAGAAACTGCTCAAGGCGTCTGTGAGTCTGTGATGGGTATAAGTTATAAGCCTAGCAATGCTAGACGAAGCACATGCTGCACCACTTGCGGCCTTCGATCGGGCCCAAAAACTTGTCAGCCGCTATGAAGAGGTTTTCTCTCGTCGAGTGGAGTGGAAAGGATCAAGGGGTTCAGCCAGAGCCATGATGCAAAAGTTGATGAATTTTAGATTCATATACTCCACCCATCTCTACCCTACCATTTAAACGTGGGAACGACCTAGTCTTGTAGTACATAACCTTCGTTAGTACAATGTAAAACAATGGTTGCTCGGCAAGAACCCTAAAATCTGTGGCCATTGGAATGCCTCTAAGATGCCCTCCAAATCCCCAAGCCGAGCTAAGTGGAGGGTCTTCACCTCCACTGCCACCCGTCGCCGGTGGCCCCCATCACCTCGCCTCAGCCATGGCACAGCGGGGCCTCAGCGTGTGACACCATCTCGAGCGACGGCGGCTTCGCGCGGCGCGGCTCGGGCGAGAGAGGCGGAGAGACGGTCGACCAGTCGACCTCGAGCGACCTCGGTGGATGGCATGCCCCCCTTGGGTTGGTGGTTGGAACCTCGTCTTTTTCCGTTTGGGGTCGCGTGGCATGGGACGTTGCGTTCGGTCTTGAGTCGATCGATGTCTCGAGTTGTTCGGCTGGGACGGCATGGATGGCGGATTCCCTACAGCCCCAACAGCCTAAAGAGGTGAAGTGACCTGAACTAGGACCCTACTGGGGTACCTATGGGATGGTCTATAGGGTCCTTCAACCTCTGTTGGCAGGTCAGAAACTGACCTCGAACTGGAGTTGATCATGTTGATCCTGCAAAAACCACTATGCTCAATGAGGCCTTGCAGGACCTGTAGAGGGACCTGGGTCTGGTCCTGGACCTAGGTCTGGTCCTGGACCTGTACTGTAGAGGTCACTGTTGATCGTTTGATCTCCTGTTCTACTCCTGTTCAGGCTCTGGCGCACTCTTGGTCGCCCTAAAACCAGGTGCGGCCGTTCCAAAGGAAGAGTCCCCCGGAATCCCCCCAAAGTGAGTGGATCAGGGGCACGCCACAAACTCGACCCGACTTCCATCCGTCGGTGCGTTGCACCATGTTGCACCCTATATCCTCCAAACCTGCCGCAGCGGAACCTGCAAACCGCGGCTCCGATGTTTTTCTTCGCCTGCTGCCGTTGTTCGGTTCTCCTCCCGCGACCTGGTTCGGCCCGAGAGTTGTAGAAAACCATTGGGGGTTCTCCAGCTGCTGTGGAGAAAGCTTTCCCCGGCAGCGGGTGATCGAAGGGGCTGCAGAGGAGTAGGGGGACCTCCGGTGTTGCGAGGAGCGAGGTAGGTCCCAGCGGCGACGGTTGTATGCTGTGTCTATGTAATTGCACGCCAGGACTCCGCGCTCCCGCGAGAAGCCGGGAGAAAAAAAAGGGGCGTCCACCCCCCTCCGCGTTCCCCATCACCCCGGCGACTGTAAGTGATGGCAGTACTGTAAGGTCACTCCTCCGCCTGGGCGAGCAGAGCCCAAAATTGGAAGTTCGGAAGCCGCGGAACCGAGCGCGGAAGACCGCGGCTTCATGCGAAAAGACCGCGATGACCGCGATGGTTTCCGCAAGGAAGGGGCGAAGAAGCGCCGGGCTTTCAGAAAAGATCTTGGAGCAGCCAGGCGCGTCGTCAGACTTCGCGCAAGATGAAGAAGCAGCCACCACTCCGAGCGCCCACCGCACCCGGTTTGGCCGGTTTGGCCGCAAGGTCCCCAGAGGTTGCGCTTCCAGAAAACAAAGTCGGAAATTCGATAAGAAAAATTGGTGTCCAACATCCCTCCCTCCCAAACCAGTTGCTTTCTCTAGGGGCCAGTTTTGCCTTCATTTGAGGCGCAAAAAAACACAGGCAGGCTGTACAAATCCGCAATGCCCAGGCAGCTCAGTGCAAATTAAAAGCATGCTGTACAGAAACCTGAGCGGTCGCTTTCCGGTCCACACTTCCCAATTTACATGGTACATCAGATTATGCATCTCCCAGTCCCAGTCACTCCATGTATGGCATCATATTTACACTTTGGATCACTTTGGGTGGTTTCAGGGGTCAATGTATGGGCATACGCGCCATACAAGATGAGAGCCTTTTGGGATCTGATCGACGTAAAAACCTTAGCAGCTAAGCTAACATCCACGGTTCATTCCAAGAGAGGTTGAGAGACCCGAACTAGGACCCTGGTCTGTGGTACATGTGGGATGGACGACCTTAGGGCTGTTCAACCTCTCTTGGTTGCTCAGTGAGTTCCAATTCTTCCGGAAAAAAAAAACGGAGATGTGTCCCACCCAGCGCGGAGCCCGCGGTCGGGCTCCACCGAGGCCTTCTTTGAAGTAGAAATTGTGCATGTTTTTCGGAACATCGGTGGACTTTCAGGCTGCAAGATAGGGTCGTCCTTGGACTGTGGGATTGGTGTCGCAGGTGTTTTGATGCCTTGGTTCACGTGCCCACGGCCAACCATGAAATTCAAGGACGACCCCACGAGGAGCAGGTCCCGAACTCTAACCCCACCAGTCCAAGACCTGCCTTCAGGCCTTCAGAACCCCAAAGCATCCAATCCTTCTGCCAAGGGCCAAAGGGGCAGCCCACAGACTGCACAAAACCCAACTCGGCCCCATGTCGCTGTCACCACCTGCCTAGAAATCCTAGATTTATTAAAAGATGTTAAGTGACCTCATTATAGGATCCTACTGGGGTGCCCAACTGGGATAGTCTATAGGGTTCTTCAACTTCAACCTCTTGTCCTTGCAGAACACCACTTTCTCTCCCGGCGTCTCGCCCAACTCTTCGCGGTCGAGGCTCTGTATTTCAGGCGCCGGCCAAATGGCACTTCGACGTCGCCCGAACGATGGCCTCTGCAGCTCCTGGAGCGGGACGACTGGGGTGGGTCGCAGATGTGGCAGGGACGTTGGTTTCATCACCTGCGAAAACGGAAGATTTGGGGGGAGGATGGGGGAGGCTACCCCAAGGTTGGGGAGGTTACCCCTGGGCCTGGGCCCCTAACTCCTATTTGGTTGTTGCGCTTGTTGGGGCCGCACGGCGGCGCGGCACCAACGGTGGAAGCCACGGGGCCAGTGGAGCGAATGGAAGTGGGCCAGGCACTTCCGTTATCACCTTCAAACCACGAAGTGCAGCCACCAGGGTGGGCCTCCAGTTCTTGGCCGAGGGGTTTTGGTCAAGCCAGTGGGCTTTTGGAAGAAATGTACCGAACAAACATCGTATGACAAGCACCGCCTGTGAGGGCCGGGAAAACCCAGCGCCAAAGTGTGAGCATCTGAGAATCTCACAAGCCTGAGGTCGAAGCATCCGCTTCAGAGTGCTTCAGAATCTGACCATCCCAAAGGCTCAGAAAGGACCCAACCCATACGCTATGAGCCTTTCTTTGTTCCCCTCACCACTTTGGACCTCACGAATGCAGCGGTTGATGAAACAGGTCCAAACCATTTCATAAATCACCAGGACCCTCCTGTCGGGGTGCCCTGTCTGGAAGCCTTTTGGGGATCGTGTGGGGTAGTCCAGCCAGGACACCCCGAAGGTCGGAGGGTCCAGGCATGTGGACTCTTGATTCCCTAGGGATCCAAGTACCTTCTCAGAAGGTGATTGGAGACTATGTATGTAGCCTTGGAGGGCCCAAGTACCTTCTGAGAAGGTATGTGGATCCCTAGGGATTACATTTCAGCAGATTTCAACCACTGGGATTGAGAGCCTCTGGAATTGAGACATATATCTACTTCGATTGGCGACTACACACCACCACGGCGTCGATGTTCTGCGCGTGTGTGTTCAGGCGAGGTCCAGGTCAGTTGGTGGTAGGATGCGGTAGGAAAATCCGCCACATCAAACCCTTGGGCTTTGTGGGGTCCAAACCCTGGTGGTTTCCTGCAAGTTTGTTCCTTATTCCCTTGACTCCACCAATCCCGCGTGAAACGACCCGCGCGTGAAACGACCCGCGCGTGGCTTTTCGCGGCTCCCTTGGCGCCGGAGGCTGCACGAAGCTTCTGGCTCAGCTGCATGGCGGCCAAGTGGTAGGACGGCTCCTCCAACCTCAGCGCCGCGCGGTTTCGCCGCACCCGCGCCGCGCGGTTGCAGCGGGCGCGAAAAAGCACGCGAAAGCAGTCGATTCGCACCAGCGGTGTGTTTTTTTGGCAGAAGTGGACAGGTTAGATGCTATAGGGAGGGGCTGAAGAACCCTGTAGGCTATCCCACAGGTACCCAGTTAAGGCCCTACTTGGGTCACTTAACCTCTCTTGGTTGGTGGTGCGGGTGTTCGGTGCCTTTCATGACTGGCGCCCCGCCGGGAAAGATGGGGCGGCAAGTCCTTCCAAGGTCATTCAGTCCCAAGTCTCCTAAACCACTCGATGTGCTTTGTGATTTCTTTTTGCCCTCGGATTCCAGCCACCATCAATACATCAATTTGCACGACCGAAGAACCATTGTTATATAGAACTCCCCTAAGAATCCGTACGGGCTCTCCATGGCAGGGGTCGGACCTTCTCCACCGTTTCACGCAGGGGTCCGGACCCGAACCAAACCCTATGTGTTTGAGGGTCCTTGATCCTTAGGGCCACTCCATGTATGCCATATATGCCTACATTGGGGTGGTTTGAGGGGTCAATGTAGGCATACATGGCATACATGGAGCGTCTGGGATTGTTTTATAGAACTCGTAAGGTGTTTTTTCACCAAACATGATCACACTCCTGGACCGACTGGACCGACTGGACGATCCTGATGCCCATCTGAAGGAGGCCAAATGGCACGCACGAGTTTCTACTGCCTTTTCCGGCGTCCCACAACTCTCCCAAGCTAAAACAAGACGCCCAAGACGCCCCACCCCATACAAATCGTACAAATCTTATCCCAAAAACTCACATGGACCCGGCTCGACTGGCGAAAGTCAGGACCGGTGTTCCTCTACCAGGGTCCAGTGGAATTTTACAGGAGCTATGGCGTCGTCCGACCAGCAAGGCTCCGTTCGGGCTCCCGGGCAGGTGGCGGACCGCGCCGCGCAGGCGCTGCGGCGTCAGCGTCTGCAAGGGGTAACGGAAGGAGACACCGCAGCCTCAGGGAAGAACGAATCAAAAACAACAACATCAAGCACCAGCACCGACTTCACAGGTCGCCGATTGAAACCTGTTAGGGCCTTTCCCAACCAACCCTCCATTTTGGAGACCTGTTGGGTTCGGTGCTGGTACCTCTTGCACTTCTTCAAGGACTGAGTCATGGCCGGCCATCGCCCGAATCCGAAATCCAGTTGCTTATAATGGGGGAGTGCTTTGTTGGTCCCTCACGTGCATCCTTCCGATCATCAGTGCTTAGTTAGTGAGGCCGGCATGAGTTGTAAGTTGTAAGGAGGGACTGTGCAGCAGCACTGCAGCCTACACTTCCTTCTCAACCTCCGTTTGGGGGG